AGAGGGCATGTGTGGAATTCAAAGTGGGGGTGGTGGTGGAAAGACCAGGAGGACAGCATGGCCAAGCGCCACTGGGCAAAGCCTGGAGACTTGAGTTACCACACTCACAGAAGCCATCTCTCCACTCAGATACACCTTTGGTTCTGCTCTGTTCGTGGGCTGGGTCGCTGGAGGCCTCACACTGATCGGGGGTGTGATGATGTGCATTGCTTGCCGAGGTTTGATGCCAGAAGAAACCAAGTGAGTCTGCCCATCCCAATACCATCAGCCATTTCAATTGATCTGAATCCATTTTAGGGTATACATTGTAGCCAGAATGATTCATTTAGACATATAGAGAAACTTTATTAAAAGGATTATTGAACTTTTTCTTTTCTGAGGGATATCTCTATCTGCATAGATTTAGGTGTAATCTTGTTTGAAGTTAAAACCACCCCTTCCATTCCCTGAGTGATGCAAACATTTGACTGCTAACTGAAAGGTGGGTGGTTTAAGCCAAGAGACAACTCAGAAGAAGGCCTAGCATTCTGTTTCTAAAAGATCACAGCTTTGAAAACCCTATGTTGTTGTTGTTGTTGTTGTTGTTGTTGTTAAGTGACATTGAGTGGAGTTGGCTCTGACTCACAGCAACCCTGTATAGGATTTCCAAGGCACAGCTGGTGAGTTTGGACTGCTGACCTTATAGTTCAAACCCATCTTGCAATCCAACGCATTAACCTGCAGCGCCATACCAGGACTCCAGCTGAAAACCCTATGGAGCAGTTCTATTCTACACACATAGGGTCGCCATGAGTCAGAATCAACTCTGCAAGAATGGATTTCATTTTGATAGGTGCTTTCCAGCTCCAGTATTCTGTAACTCAACGAGATCTCAACTGTGAGAGGTTTTGTCCCTTAAGGGGCATTTGGTAACATCTAGTGCCGTGTTTTATTGTTACAACTCGAAGAGGGGTGTATAGAAGCCAGGGATGTTGCTAGTTATGAAGTGACTTGTATTTCCCAAAAATTTATGTTAAAGTTCTAATTCTTAGCAAGAAACCCTCAGTCCTGAGCAAACCAGGACAGTTGGTCGCCCAGACCTTTGGACAATGGCTTTCTACCTCTGCAATGGAACAGAATCTTGGAGTCTTCCTTAGCTGAAAGAGTAGACTAGCAAGTTCCTTCTCCTAATCAATTATAATGAAGTTGAGCTATAAACAAAGTGCAAGGTAACAGTATTATACTTAAGAACTTGTGAGCTGGAAGTTATCAGCTTTCAATCTGCTCATTTCATGGGTGAGATATCTAAGCCCAGAGAGAGTAAAAAAAAACTGCTAGAGATCATAGGGATAGGTAGCAGTAGAATAAGACTTTCAGTGTTAAACTGAGACCATACAGGATAAATGGTGGTAGCTGGTCCCCCTACCAAAGCTATCTATGGTCATGGAATGTTTCTTTTTCTTTCAGCTACAAAGGTGTGTCTTACCATGCCCAAAGTCATAATGTCAGTTATAAGCCTGGAGGCTTCAAGGCCAGCACTGGTTTAGGGTCCAACACCAAAAACAAGAGGATATACAATGGAGCTGCCCATGTTGAGGACGAGATGCAACCCCATCCTTCCAAGTACGACTATGTGTAGCACTCCAAAATAACAGCGTGGGCAGAGGAAACCCTCAATTAGAGCTCACCCAAGAAACCAGAAGATTTTACCATGATTCCTCATTGCTTTTGGCCCCCTCGATGGTTGGAAGTTAGAGAAATCTTAATTTTATCTGTGGTCAGAAGTCAGTTGGTCTTGGTCACATACCTCTGTCTCTATATATTCTATCATAAAACAGCTGAGTCACCATTTATGAATGAGAGTTCATGTATTCCAATTCTATGTTTCTCTCTTTTTAAAATATAACCTTTAAAAGCTGATGATGAACTGTGGTATGAGTCCCTATCACACATTCCTGATGATTTAGACAGACTCTCCCTCCAGTCAATAAGCTCATTGATAATATATTTCCCAGCTCATCCCCCAGCAAAATTTTGAAAGGGGAAAAAAAATAAAAGATTGACAATTAAAGACATTATTTTCTACTATTTGAGTTTTGTCTCTCTACCAACAATTTGGCTACTAACAAATATAATTGAAGATAGACATCAGGAGAAAGGTATTTGTAATTTCTCCAGTCCATCATTTCAGTTTTCTTGCATGTGATCTTGAAAGTTACCTGGACCAAGATGATTTTCAGTTTAAGGAAACCAAGTTTTTCTTTTTCTGTTGATATCTTCTCATCCCAGCAAGGCTAGCTCAGGGTTTTGACATCTCCACTAGAGGTTCTCTTTCCATCAGAGGCTAGAAATCATCCCCCAAAGAATGAGAAAAGGAATTTTTTTCTTTGTAATCAAAATCCTAAATACAATTAGGATGAATAATGTATTTTTAAATGTTATCTTATCTCTCTGAATTAGCCTTATCTTGCATGCGAACAGATAGAAGAAAATGAAAGAAGTAATTGCCTGAATGTTTTTTATATTGTACTTCATAAAGTCACACTTACATCTGAATTTCATGAAATGCTCACTGATCCTACTCCTTCCCCTTTGAGTTCTCCGGAACTCTGATTACACAAGCTAGAGTAAGTGTGGCACCCAGGAAACACAAATACTAGACCACGACAGATCCTCAGAAATAGATTAAGCCACTTCTTTAAAAAAAAAATGGTGAGCCTGAATTTAATGTTTTGCTTCCAAGTGTCAAATGGCTACAGGTCACTGCCACAGGACAGTGGCCTTCATGCAACACTATGGTCAACTTCTTTTCTCTGATAACTAACACCTTCACTAAATTTACTAAAGAGTGGTCAGACCATAGGATGCTCAAGTAGAAATAAAATCACTATTCTGTCATTGACTTTCCCTATGCTGAAATCATTGCCATTTGAACATAAAACTGAAATTCCTTCCTGCCACCAGGATCCCATCCCAGCATCAAAGTCAGAATAGGCCTCCTGGGAAATCAAGACAAGACTAGTCTGTCAAAGTTACCCAGTCAGGGAGTTGCTTTGGCCCATAGAGAATATGAGCATTAGGTTATTATTATTTGCTAAAAAAGACCTTACAGCAATAGTGTTTATGAAAGGGGCTTCCAAGAGGATGGGTGAGTACTAATAGGATTCTTCAGGTTGGAGAGACTGTGGCTGAGATCTGTTGCTCCATTCAGCAGAAAGAAGTTGTGTACCCCAAGGAGTTGTGTACTCAGAGGCCCTTGTCACTGAGACAGCAATAATTTTAAGCCAAATTAAATAAGGTACTCTTGTAATGCATCACCTGAGATAAAGGATGAAGAGATACATCAATTCAAGAAAAAAGAAAGAAGGCTGTGAAATCTAGAACTTGGAGATTGTTAAGATTCCTACGATTTGAGATGAAAATCATCACTTTAGGTTGAAGGCCCTGGATACAGACAATGAGCTCTTCCTATCACCAGACAGCACCAGGTCGATTCTGCGGCAGTGATGTGTAACTCAGGTTGTTAATGAGTACATTCTCTGTCCAACATTTAATTATTTGAAAGCTTCTAGATAGTTTGTGCTTTGTGATTTTTGCCTTGCTCTATCTTACTGCATATGCATTGAGTACTGACCTGCATGTTTTGTTACTTAAATATTAAAAACACTGTTATCTTACATTTGAATTGCTTCTGCTCCTTTTTTCCTAAGTTTTGAGAAGTGGAGGTGGTAGGTCCAGCATCGCAAAGCTGAGTACATATTCCCAGGGATGATCTTGCTTGTCATCTACAGCAGACATCTCTGTCTGCCTAGCAGCAGCCTGGTTGCCTGTTAGTGGTTTCCACAAGCTGGAAAACCTGAATAAGAAGGGGTTTCCAGTATAGTGGGTATACAGTATGGGGTCTAAGGACCAAGTTTAGCCTAACTAGCCCTAGGTGCATCTGTCTAAAATGTATGCTATAACTGGCCTGCTCATGAACCAGTAAGAAAAGAGACCCAATGCCTGTCCTCTTGATGATGTCAAGGGTTGGTTTCACAAGCTCAATTAGCTATGTTCATCAAGCCTGCATCAGGGAATGAAAATAGATTTATTTTACTTAAAAAAAAAAAAAAAATTAGCTGCTGAGGCTGCTTATGTACAAACACCTCATAGAATTTGCTTTCTTGGTTTGAAAGTTTAGGGTCACCCCAATTAATTGACTTAATAATGTGTTTAATGCTTCAGTTCTACATCCTAGTTTGTAATGTAGTGCCTGGGGTCCTAAAAATTTGTGTATAGCTTTACAAGATTCAACAATTGGTCCATAATCACCTGAAGCAATAGAGGAAGAAGAAGAATCATGAATAAGAGGAGAAATGGGATATAGAGTCAATTTCCTCTATAAACAGCTGCCTCATTTGCTAGGAGACCAGAAGAACTAGATGAGGCCCAGCTATCAGTACTGAATGTTTTGATAAAAGAGTCTATGGAAGAACCCTGGTCAAAAGGGGGAAAAAAAAGAATGTCTAATTCTCATGGGGTCCACATATTCTGGAACCGTGGAAGCTGAATGAACTCCTGAAACTATTACCCTGAGATGGCCTTTGCACCTTAAATCAAAAATATCCCCTGAAATCTAGTTAAAACCAAATAGCTTAGCTTAATTAGCAAAAAATATCTGC